ACAAACCCTAATTCCGTTTAAAATCCCAATTACTTGACCCTCATCTCAGACGCGACGAAGATTAAGATCCGTAGTCTCTCCGAAAGGAACCGACTTTCTCGCTGTTTCTAATAGATTCAAGAGAAACACCCTTTATCCAATCCCAGTCCAGATTTCGCGCATCATCTGTAATCCATATCCTCAAGAACGATTTTTGCTACATAGCTTTGGTTGTATCTGTATATATATTTCTTTATTTTATAACAGAAACTCGTATTCTTAATGGGGGAGGAAGACAAGCGATGGTTCTTTTGTTTTTTGGAGTTTATTTTCATAAATCTGAAGGTGTTCTTTGGAGATGGAATTTTAAGACAAGAAAATACATAGCAATTACGTAATCGATTTAAGAGGTTTGTTCTTTAGCTCTATTTCAATTTTTTTCTTGCTCATTCTAAAATTCAACAACTTAGGTAGATAAAGATTGCTCATATACAAGTCCAGGTCTTTGGTCTCTCATCAAACACTCCATTAAATCAAAGGTTTGAACTTTGGTCTCTTTCTCTAACTTCACCATCAAACTCTTGAAACCAATGTTTGAAATTTTTTTTTTTCAGATAGTGAGGAAGACCTTTGTTGTTATCGAAGGAGAAGGAGTCAAGGAGCCAAAGCAAGTTTCTGGAGAGATTCTCTCTTTCTTCACAAGGAAGAACTTCAACATCACTGATCGTGGAGAAACAATCATGTAAGCTCATTCAAAAGAAAGTTTCATGTTTTTTGATATGGGTTTTAAGTTTTAGAAGGCCATGTTCACACATTTTTGTACAAAACCTTGTCCACAAAACATCGTGTCCACAATACCTTGAAGAGATGTTTCACTTGAATAACAGCTGAAGATGAAGAGATAATCTTTATGGCTTACTAGTAATATATCTTAAACAGAAAGCTTCATTGATTATTTTATTTTAATGAGTTGGAAATTGAGTAAAATCAGGTTTGATTGTTTCATTTGTTGTTTTGAAGAAATGGGCTCACTTGCATCTCCGTTAAGAGCATTGGGTATCAAATACAGGGGTGACTTAACTTGTGTACATACCACACATGTTTTTACAAAATCTTGTCCACAATTTTCTCTCTGTGAAGCTGCAGAGAGAGGAAAGGTGTGGACAGGAGAAGTGTTGTGGTCATGAGAGGAGAAAAGAGGTGTGGATAGAGGTGTGGACTTGAGATGTGTTGTGGTCATGGACTGCGGAGAGGAGAAGAGATGTGTGGACTTGAGAGGTGTTGTGGACAGGAGAAATGTTGTGGTCATGAGAGGAGAAAAGAGATGTGGACTTTAGAGGTGTTGTGGTCATGGATTGTCGAGGAGAGAAGAGAGGTGTGAATAGAGGTGGGGACTTGAGAGGTGTTGTGTCATGGACTGAAAGTAGTGGACAATGGAGCTACGGAGAGGAGAGGAGAGGTGTGGATAAAAAAGGTGTTACTAGCGAGAAGAGAGATGTGAAGATGTAGTGTTGAGCTGCATAGGGACACAAATGTCTAATCAAACACTACACTCCAAAATAATGTGTCTTGCAAGCACAATGTGTCTTTATGTGCAAACAATAGACAAAATGTGTCTCTTTAAGTAACCAACTCTTCTTTCAGCTACATATTGTATATAGGTCTTGGTTATTTTTTCGTTTGTAATATATAAATGTGCTGGTGAAAGTTCTGTTAGTTTAGTGATTTGATTAAGAGTTTATTAATGTTTATACCCAAAATTTTGGATTTTGAATTCCAGAAAAATAAATAAATTATAAAAAATTAGCAGAAAAAAGATTTAGGATAAACTTTTAATATAATGCAAGGAATACCATCAACCGTGAATTTCATAAAATAGTTCAAAGTGATGCAGGCAGACATAAATCATCATAAACTAGACATAATTATTAGTTATAAGATCGTTGAAATATATTTCGTTATATTAGCATAATATCCACCCTTAATAAATATAAAAATGTCCTATGATTATGAATCAAAAAATCAAATTTTGAATTTCGATAAATACCAGAATATCTAATATATTATTAATTTATTATTCATAAGATTCTTTTTCGAGTCGCTTCTACTATTAGATATCTTAGAATGTAATTGGAAATACGTTATATAGTATCTTATACAATAAAGTTGAATTTTCTCTCTTCTCATGCATCCACATCAGCATTTGTGAGGGGGGGGGTAAAAAAAGCCATGTCAGCATTTACTAATTGAAATCAAACCGTACAAAATTAATTCTCATCTCGGTTTGTCACATTCTGATATTTTGAGTTTTTGACAAAATGGATTTGGGCTCTTCAAAATATAATGGCCAGTTATAGAATGATTTATGTTTTACCCAACTTGCAGAATTTTTTTAAGATTTACACACATTTTCAGTCCGTTAAGTTGTCTTCTTACCTTAGGTTTCAGAGATCAAACCGACGATCATCTTTTTGTAAAGTTTTTTTTTTTTTACTTTTTTGTAAAGTTTGTTCTCATGCATCCTTATATTTCATATAAAATAATTAACACTTGCACAACTTATAACTAAACAAGGTGCATAGTTTGTATTACATATATTGCAACATCTTCGATGTTTTAGTGTACACAATTTAAAGTAACAAATGATAATAATTAACACAAATTAATAGAATTATGAAGATACCATCATAGAAAATTATGAACACTTTCATAACTCATATAAGATTACACAAACTACAGAGCTAATGAACACTTGCACAACTTCTAAAAAATAAACAAAGAGCAAAGCTTATATCACTTTGTTTAAACAAAGGTCGGAGCTTATATCACTTTGGTGTATGATTGCCACATATATAAGAATCTGTTCAAAAAAATGATTGCCACATATAGAAGGTTTTAGATGAGAAATTTATAAGCAACAAACTGATAATAATTAATTAACACAAAATAATAAAATTAAGAAGTTACCATTACAGAAAATTATGAACACTTGCACATCTCATAAAAAAATTAGACACATTTCAGAGCTTATATAACCTATATTGACACATCATATACGCTTAGAAGACAAGTTTATAAATAACAAACTGCTAAAAATTAACAAAAAAAAATTGGATTTAAGAAGCTATAACCTTACAAATTAAAGTTTATCGTTGCAGGGTGCCTACACGCCTCCCAACTGGATGATTAGCTCACACTGTAAATGCAGTGTAATTGCAAAAGTCAGTAGTTACGTATCTCCTACATTCTTTCACTACACAGTCTTGATGCAACCTCTTGATTCCTAATTACTCAACCATTACGATTTTAAGAAATAATGGTGAAGACGCCAGTTGAATTTAATGGCAAATCAACCACAGGAGATCTCCCAAAAATCTTAGTGTTTCTGAACACTCCACCGCATCATCATCATATGTAACCAAAAGAAGTCAGAAAAAGAAAAAAAAAATTGGTCCAAAGGAGACGTAAACTAATTCTTTATGACTTTGACAACTTACTCTTTGTAAAAAAATTTATGTACTTATTCCTACGCTTTAATCTTTGAACCTCCAGTATCTGAACCACGGCAGCCTTGGCTACAAGATAAATATCTACCACGCACACCAGCCTCTCCTCCCCCCCATATCGGG